TATTTGATATTAACTTGCGCATTTAATATAGTATATATTATATCAAATATTTTGTTTATTACTATTCTAAAAATAATTTTTACTAAGGGTAATTGATTATCCTGATCATTTTCTATTTTATTTATTAGTATTTATTTACTTATAATCATTTATCTGATCAGTTATTTTGATCATCACAAATTTGAAATCATAGCAAGTCTGCGCACGTTATAAAATTAAAAATAGACAAAAAATTTTACCTCTCGGTTATTATTTATTTTTAGTTTAGAAGGGGATTGGAAATTAATATTGGGAATTTTGAGCATTTATGCTGTTAAAAGAATTTAATAATAATGATTGCTAAGGAGAGTGGGTTATAGCGAATATCTTGTTTATGTCAGTTTTGGTTGTGAATACTATATTATTATATAATATAAATTACTAAAAAGATATACTATTAAACCAGCTAAAGTAATATTGCCTATTTTACTCAATTTAATATATAATGATATATGATATCAAAGCTAAGATTTTGTCAAATTATCAAAGGTCTTATTAGATCCTATATGAACAAACGCCGATACTGCACCGACAAACTCCAAGTGAAAAGAATTTTGAACACAAATTTTTATTGGCTAAAATTTGGCTAACTAGCCAACTTAAGAGAATAAAAATATAAAAATAAATATGGAATAGCACAACGGCAATAAAAAGTTACACCTAATTTTCAAGTATTTTTTTAATCCGCGGTATAATTTATATGAATCTAATATTAGATAAAAGTTTTATTAAATTGAGAGGAGTAAGGATCAATATGTAATACTAGTCTAATAATAAACGTGTCTATTTTTATCTCATGGTCAAATGAGCATTCATTATTATTATCAAGACTAATACAATATTAGGTTTCTTATAGAACAAAATATAAAGATTTAACAATCGAATATTAGCGAATTTACAGAAATATATCCCTTTTGTGATCAACATTATCAAGTATTCAAGTAGCTGACAGCTTCGTATTACGTTACTATAAACCAATCATTAACATTAATAATACATATTATTAATCTCGGAATAAATATTATAGTTATTTGAACTTATCAGGGGTTTTTTCGCGAAAATAATTACAAGTTAAATTGGCTAGACATATATGTGAAAAATGATAAATAAACAAAAATGATCTAAGCTTAATGATAACATAATAGTATTAAAGTACTGTAATAATATAAGTATAATAATAATTCTATACTATTGAAACTCTGCAAATAGCAATTTACCTTATATTAATTAACTTAATTTTATAATTTAATTTAGTGTAACAATTAAAATTTCGCGTTCTAACAAAATTTCCTTGTTCCAAATTTTCTCGTTTAAAAACCTGGTTTTTACAGCTCAAATTTTGAATCTAAATTTATTACATTAATTTTATGTGTGTTTAGTTTTGGAATTTAATTGAGTATATAAGAGGGAGTTGGATTAGTTTTGAAAGTATATGTTATTTTATTGCTTTAGACTGTGATTACATTTTTTATAATAGTCTAAATTTTATTTATTTATCTCTCTTAATCTAATATCTAACTTTATAGACTTTTTACCTAATTATTAATATTTATTCAATTTAACTTAACATGTACTCTATTAAGCACTTGGTTGTGTCCTTACTCCTTCAATCTTCCATCACTTATGCCGATAATGGTAGAGTTTTAATGGGTTACATTAGTACTCAAAATCAAACCCCTGTCGAAGGAAGAGTTAATGTAGATGAAATGCCCTCTAGTTTAACTCACGTTTTATTTGCATTCGCTGAAATTGATTCTAAAACGAATAGCTGTATTATTTTAGACGATCAAATGGACACTAAAGATACTTCATCTCCTCTACTATCATCTGAACTCAAGCCAAACTCAACCTCTTGTGCAGCAGATCAGCAAGCAAAGGGTAATCTAGGCGCTTTATACGCATTTAAAAAGAAGAATCCTCATGTCCAAGTCCTCTTGTCAGTTGGAGGAGCTAGTCCAGAGAGAACCAAAGCATTTGCGGATTCAACAAGCACAGATGCCGGGGTCGATACTTTAGCCAAGTCCTGTATTAAAATGGCTCTTGATTATGGCTTAGACGGGGTTGATTGGGATTGGGAAACTCCAGATGGCACTGGTCAATGGGAGAATTATTTAAAATTAACTACTGCAACTAGAAAATACTTAAACGAATTCAAGGATAATAAGACTTACCTTCAAACCATTGCCATTTTACCATCAGCTTTAACTAGTTCCACTGGAAATGGAGCTGCTGCCGATGTTACAAGTTTGAAAAAGATGAGTGATCAATTAGACTTTGTTAATTTAATGACTTATGATAGCTCACCTGGATCAGATCGTGCACTTCACGACTCACCATTATTCGCAGCTCCTGATAGCTGGGGAGCTCATAGCATGAACGATACAGTAACTAGGGCCTTAACCTTGATTCCAGCAAATAAACTAGTAGTAGGAAGCCCTCTTTACGGTAGACAATCCGTTGTAGTGCCATTTACAAGGGATTCTGATAAATCTTCCAATCGCGGACTATTTCAAAAAATAGATACTAGCAAATCTAATCAAGGTGAAACTATTTGGTATAATCAAATAAGGGATAACTACTTAACGAATAGCGACTTCGTCAGATACTGGGATGATTCATCTAAATCTCCTTATTTGTTCAATAGCAATACCAATACCTTTATCACTTACACTGATTCCGAAAGCTTGTTAGCCGTCGCCCAATACATTAAGGATAAGAATTTGGCAGGAATATTCTTTTGGCATTTGGG